TTTTTTTTAAATTGGGTACTTTTTATTGCCTTTTTTCTCACTGAGGGAAGTAAAACATAGATGAACATAGAACTCAAGTGAGCCCTAAAACCAACTAAAATAGCAATTTTTATTAAATGCAGAATGGACTCAACACTTTAAAAGAAGAATCAGGTTTTAAAATTTCACTTTGGCCTTATCATTTATTTTTACATTGCAATAATCACATTTTCTGGAGCTGAAGCAGACCATGAGCTGATGAGGACCTTGCAGAGCTGCTTTACAAAGGAAAGCTTTTAGCCAAACCCTTGCTGACAACGTGGTGCAGAGTTTTCTGTCATCTAGGGGAGTTTTTAACTCCTGAGGTCAGTGTTTCAGTGCTTTTCCAGGTAGACACAGAAGTAGCTGTTTCTCCAGCTTTTACAAAGACAGCAATCTAGGGAGTCGGATACTGGAATGTGCCAAACTTGCAACGAAAATTTTTAAATCCCTTTGAAATTACTTTTAACTAATTAACTAATTTTAATTAGTTTTTCTTTTTAATTGATACATAATGATATTTGTAGAGAACAGTGTGATACATCAATACACATATGCAATATGTAATGATAATATCAGGGTAATTACTAATGCCTGTGAAGGCTGTTTATCATTTCTTTGTGCAGGGAATAGTTTAAATCCTCTGTACTAGCTATTTGGAAATATTAGTTGCCATCACTTACACGTATTCTACTGTGCTGCAGAACATTAAGCATTACGCCTTCGCCTTTGGTGGCGCTACGCCTTTGTACCTGTTAAGTATCCTCTCTTCAGCCCCTCCCGCTTCCTGTCCAGTCTCCAGTAGCCACTATTCTACTCCCTTCTTTTATGAGATTCATATTTTTAGTTTCCATATATAATCAGAATGTAGGTAACAGTATTTGGCTTTCTGTTCCTGATTTATTTCACTTAGCATATTATTCTCTAGTTCCATTCATTTTGTATTGAATGGTTGTATCTCACCCTCTTTTATTTTGTGCCAATCTTTCTTGTCCAAGTGGTGTCCCAGTGTCTTGAGGATACGTGTAACAGTGAGCGAAGTGGGTACGACATTCTACTTCTGCTTATCCCCAATACTGGGTTTCCTGGAAACCTGATGTGCTGTTTGCAAACTGTGAAAAGGTGACAGGTAGGTGTCAATGCAGCACTAACCAGTCTGATGTACAAAGTAACAAAACCTTCAACTCAGGTGAAGTTCAAACTCAGAAGTTATTTATTTTTAGGTTAGTTTCAGATTTGGAGTTATCGCCTTCTCCCATTTGGAAGTTTCCCACTGAAGTGGAAACACTAAATAAAAGATAAACATTAGACTTTGAAAAATTATCTCAGTTCAGAGTTGCTATTGAAACCAGCTCCTGTAAGTCCTTGGGGTGTCTGCCTCCTATGGATATTGATGACACATTTTGCATACTATTCACCAAAGTAGCCATTATTACTCAGAACATAGAACATAGAAATTACTGATGTTGTAGCTGCCTGGTATGTGTTCTTGTATCTCAGTAAGGTGTCGTTTACAAATACTTTAATTTATAGGCATGGATTTTACCCACTAACTTGAGGTGCAACTTAGTAGGAACAGTAGTTTGATGAAAGCATTCATGGTGCTGAGAAACACTGCCTCTGTTCCTCAAGCAGCTGATAGACTTGGCTGTCCCATTTTGAACATTCGCACATATCTGGGTTTCCTTGGAGCTGGCACTATATGAAATCAAAGAGGAGTTAATTCTAATGAATGTTAAACCAAAGGTAAGCTCCCTTTCCTGGCACTGGAAAGAATATCTCATTTCTAAGAAGATGAATGAAAAATTAGGAAGAGTGAAGTTTTCAGTTTCCAAATATAGATGTAGATATCTACTTGGATTTTTACACTATCTCATAGAGAAAAGTAAGTTGCATTGGGTAACAACCCTAGAGCCATCCTCTGGGCTTCTGATCTGGGGGTGGAAGGGAAGATGCTATCTCTTTTAATCTTAGAGCCCCTTGCCCCATGGCTGTTGTTTCAATTGCTGAAAGGGCCTGGACGATGTTACCTTATGCCTGTTGCACCCTTCCACCTTCTTTGTTCATGTATGTAGTGTATTCTGACAACCGGGAATTATTTTGCTTTAGAGCAAGCAGGTAATATCTTTGTACTTTCCTTGAAGCCTGGGACAGACTGGCTCCTCCCCAGGCCATACGGGCTCCTCCCCCAGCCTGACAGTTTTGAATGTCATGGTCCTGATCTCACAATTGAGGTTTAGGAGTCCTGTGAAAGCTACTAGGGTGATTTTTCTCACTGCCTTGAATTATTATGGCCATCAACTTCTCAGTCTCTAAAAAAGAAGCAAAGGAGAAGAAAAGGAAAATTAAAACCTGACAAGCTAAATTCCCACTGATGACAAGTGATCTACTCTTTCATTTCTGTTACATAGTATTTTCTCAGAGAAATTCTCTGGTAAGATAGCAGAAAATTGGGAAACTTGTGATGCAGCTCTCCAGTATGAGGGATCTACATAATTCCAAGAATGGATCTATTTTAACGGGTCCAAGTATTGTTAGGATAACCAGTTATCAGTACAATTATGTGAATCAATTTCTAAACCAGGCCTGAGGCAAAACTCAATGTTCTCATAAATGAAATAGGGCAAATAGTGTTTACTTATTAATATTGGTATGAAAATTAATGAGGTGATATATGCAAAGCTCTTATCACTACACCTATCATAAATTAGTACCCAAGATGCAGAAGAAAATATTTGCATACAGAGTCACAGATACATACCCATTTATTTTTCTACTCCCAGACCTTGACTATTTATCCTTCTACTCAGAAAATTTCTTTAACTCAGCATCTAGCCTTTATCTCTAAATTAATTATCAACTGTTATCAACGTTCTATTTGAGCCTTTAAATAGTCTTCTATTTCTTTCACCTGTAAATAGTGACTTTTGACGCTAAGCTGTCAGAGTGGTGATTTTAGAATTCACATAATTCTAAAACTTTAGAATCTTATATGAAAGATGAGGTATATGAGATCCAGGGCCTATATGTAACTTCCCCCAGATCATTCTATTTTCAAAACCAGGTTTCTGTTAGAATTGTGTTTTTACATACATAACAGAGCCATTTGGGTCTAGGAGGACAAAATGCTGTATTTAGATGAAAAAGGCTTCATGTCCACAGGCAAGAGAAGAGTTAATAGTGGTGGGAAGCTCACGAAGTGCATGACCTTGTGAAAGGAAATGCATTTTTCCCATTTCTAAAATAATACACACCCTTTGGTCTGATACAAATGTGTGAGACCCAGATTCTAGATAACATTGGTGAAAATGTTTGCAACCTACAAGTTTTGGCATAAATATTAAGTTACATGTATATACTGGATATATCTGTGAATCTTAATAAATGAATGTACTACTAATAAAATCATTTTCAACAAAACTCATTCACCTGTATTTTATGGATACTGCTTGGTTTGTGGTCACCCATGGTAGGCTGTTTGCAGGCTACCAGAAGAGCTCAGTGGCTTGGAGTTTAGGCTAGGAGTGGGGAAGAACACAGTTGAGACTGTTGCACTGGAACCCAACTCAACAATTTGGAGGCTTAATGTCCTTTTTCTATAAGAGATTAAGAGAAATTGCTTTGGAGGGGCTAGTTGGATAGGGATATCCAACTAATTTCTGCTTCACAGATAGTAAGTTAGTCTTTGGATTTCATTCGATATTTACTGGTTTATAGGGATTAATTACTCCCTGCATAATTAGAAAAGCAAACACAGTTCTAGTTTCTTGTAACACAGATACTCATGAAGTACAAGAATGGCAAATGCATTTCAGCTCAAGGGTACTGTTCAATTAGCTGGTAGGAGTGGCTTAGAAGACTGCAGAAAAAGATCTTGAGTTGAAGTGCAGGTCAGCTGTACAGACACCCAAGCGATTTGCCAGCATCTGCCGTAGGCTTAGGTAGAGACAACACATGCACACGATGGCATTAGAACTGAGGTTTTGGTTATGATCCTGGCATCACCAAGAGATCCTCAGCAAGATCTTCAGTCACTCTAGGCCTCGGTTGTCCTCATTTGCAAAAGAAATATCAACATGGGTGGGTTTCCTTCCATGACCAATTTTGGTTCTTATATCTTCTATGTCTGAGAAGAGGTGGTATTTTATGTCAACTCAAATTCACCTTCACCACGAAACATTTTCCTTCGTGACCACAAGAGTGTAATTCTACTCTACGTACTTGCTAGGTTCTTGTGAGATTAGATTCCAGAGAATGTGCGTGAAAATATAAACTGGAAAGCCTGCATAAATATTAAGCCACAATAATAGCTTCAGCAACCCCAGTAGTAAGCGTTCTAGAAAGTTAAGAATATGAAAGAAATTCTTTTCCTTTTGAAGAGCATTTTCAGAATATTCTTTTGGCTATAGCAAAGGAAAATAAAATTAATACTGATATTTTTAAAGAGTGGAAGCTGAATGTGTTTGACTTGGAACTTTTTATCACCCCTTTGTGGTTCCTAGGATGAGACAGAATTGCTGAATTTTCTTTCACTGTTAGGAAAAAGGAATCAACATGCTTGTTTGTTATGAATATTTAGAAAGTCTTTTTCTTACCAGTCCCCATGAAGTCAGTCTTAACATTGACACAGATGATTTTTTTTTTGGGGGGGGCTTAATTTTAGCTACATCATTTTCCCCAGTTTTTATTGAAATAAGGACATTCCACATGTTGTACCATGAGTGTAAATGATTCGGACTCCAGACAAGTGGCAAGTGAGCTCTCCCGAGGTTGTCCAGAGAGAGGTGTGGAAAGCGCACACATATTGCAGACATCATAGCTTTCCTGCTTTGGAGTTTATGGTTTTATTTTCTTACACATTGTCACCATGGAAGGCTGGTAGGCATGTTTGCAGGTCAGGGGAGCGTCTTAATGAACTTAGCACATGCCTGCCACTGGCTCTGGAGGAAAGCCCACTCATCTCTCTGGGCCTCTGTTTTCAGATCAGACTCCGACCCCCACGAGATTCCTGAAGAACTGTGAGGAGGTGGGCCTCTTCAGCGAGCTGGACTGCTCCTTTGAGCACGAATTCAGGAAGGCGCAGGAAGAGGAGAGCAGCAAGCGGGTAGGTTTGCTCGGGTGGACACCAGGACAGGTGACCCCTGAACGCCTGCTGAAAAGCTTCCGTGTGGAAACTAGTAGCACTGCAGATTATGAGGGCTTGGAACAGAATTTAATCTATGGGCAAGTGATTGCTCCAGTTTTTAAGTTGATGAATCTTTTATTGTGGTAGAACCTAAAGTTCAGGTAAATCATTGGAAAAAGAGCTATCTGAAAAATGAAGTTCAAGGCCCTTGCTGCAAAGTTACCTGGGTCTTAAAGGTGTGTTGAACAAATTCACAGATTAATTCTGTTCTCAAACAATTGTGTTACTTTGCTCAGTGTTTAATTGCAGGACTGATGTGGGTGGTGAGTGCAGAAGGAAAAAGACAAAGGGCCAAAAATTAGGTGAATAATGGTAAGAAAGGGGATTTCATCTGACTTGGGCCCAGAGCATAACTATCTGCCATAATCTTTCCCGTCCTTCTCTACCAGATTTTTAATTACTTCCTGTTCATGTGACCTGGTCAGATTAGTGGACATCTGTTGTTGGGGAAATGAGTAAGTTAGCTACAAATAGATTGGCCACATTTGTCCTTATAAGAAATTCACCTCATGAAACTCTTAAGGATGTATTGGATTTTTAATCACAATATTGGACTGGAATTTTAAAATCACTTTGCAAGATTAAGCAAAGGAAATGTGGTCGTAAGGAAATATGACAAGGCGGCTTTTTAGTGTTCTTTTCATTGCTGTCATAGAGCATTTAGTGAATGCTCACAATGCCCTAAACAACAAATTAGACACAGTCCATGAGCGGAAATGTAAAATGTGAAAGGTGATTGAAGGGAAGCACCAGCGAGGTAGTAACGAATTCCGAGATTCCAGCTGTTCCATCCCAGAAGAACTGTTAAAAGGCCCCGAGGTTTCTCAGAGTATTTCAAAGGCTTTGCATCTTCCTCTACGTGAAATCATAATAATCCCTCTCCACCAGATTTTTCTTGTCACATTCTCACATCATGGTGGCCCAGGGCTTATGCTCAGTCTGTACTGCTTTAGGAAAAGTCATGAGAAGAGGGATACGATATCTCAATCAATTCATTTTATTTATACTTATCCATTTACATTTTATCCTCTCTCCACTCCCCTGCCAAACAACATTAAATGCTTCTCTCTCTCTCTCTCTCTCTCTCTCTCTCTCTCTCTCTCTCTCTCCCCCCCCCATGCGTGGTATTAGAGATTGAACTCAGGCAGTACAGAGCTACATCCTCAGTTTTTTTCGTTTTTGTAAACATTTAGGCAGTTTTACAACAAAGCGTCACTGAGTTGCCTGCACCAGCCCCAAGTTTCTGATGGTCCTCTCAGGTAGCTGTGATTATAGGTGTGTGCCATGTTGCCTGGTCACCTTTCCCCCCTTTTTGAATGAAATTGTATATAACAATTATTATTTGCCTAGCATTTAAAAATTAACTTGACTAAAATGGAAGCTACATGTCTATATTCTCTTGTACTAGAAGTAGAGTTTTAAAAACCTATGAAAATGGCAAGGGAGAAGAAACAAGTTTCACTTCATGAATTTCCTCTAGTTGAGCAATAAATTTAGTTCTTCTGGTAAATATATATTTATTGAATAAAGATAGTGTCTGGGGTGGGGTTAAGTTCATTGCTCTAGGTAGTGCAGCTTAGCTTCTTATATTAAACTGAACTGTAAGACTGAACTGTAAGAATGTTGTGTACTTGGTCCATATTGGCCTCTTTTCTTTTCTTTCTTTTCTTTTCTTTATGTTTTAGGAAAGGGTCTTACAGGGTGTTCAGGGTCTCACAACTAGATCAGACTCATAGTGATCCGCCTGTTTACAGCCTCCCAAGAGCTGGGATTATAGGCACGTGCCTCCATGCTCAGTCTCAATCACTGTCTCGGTGTGTCCTGGGTGCGGGGCTTGCACAGCAGGCCCAAGGATTGAAGCCCCTGGTCTCTGTGCCTGCTTGAAGGTGCTTTAATTCACTGAGCTATTTGGCCAGCCCTGGCTTCCTTTCTTATGGACTGGCTTGAATTGAAGCTTGTGCCCTTGACTCACCTAAAGACATTTGCCAGGAACAGTTTCATAAAGCCCACAGCAAGGGTGTGGTTTTCGATAGTCTTCATTATATTATTCATGATTTCCTATATGAAGCCCTGTGTAAGGACTTCTTGCAGGTCTGAATTCCAGGAAATGGTTTGATTCCCTTGAGGAACTGAAATATTTTCTCCTTGTGGATGTGAGACTCATGTAGCTGGTTCTGTTTCTCTTTCTGTTTGACTGTTAGATTAACATAAATCCAAGTTTTCAACTTGGAGAACTTTTTAGAATACTATAAAGAGCAATAATTTATTTCCCTTCCTATGCAGACTTTTAGTTCAAGTTTATGTTTTTGCTGGTCCTGATTTTGAATTTAAAATCAAAAATACTTTTGTGTTCTATGTGTTTCATGATTTGCTTTAAATTCTTTATGGGTTGAGAAAGAATACAAATCATTACATTTACAAACTAAGATAATTACCTAAGTGACATTGAGGAAGAAGACTATCATGGCTGTAGAGCTATTTATTTTCTGTCGTAAGTGTTGTTCATAGCCATGGGATTATGCTGCCCCGTGGATGGGGGACCCTGTGGCAGCTCCTGCTGTGGCTTAGGGCTGATTGTGAGGACAGTTCCTACTTGTGCCAGAGCCTTGTTTCTGGGCACGGAAGCTGGACAACATTCAGATTGTTCAATCTTCCTCTTCCTTTGTCTTATTCCAGCCAGAGGGCCTGGAGCGGCTGTCCTCCTGAGGCCTATAGCAAGTGAATCATCCACCTGCCAAGTGGGCGTTGATAGCGGCCTTTACCTCAGGGGCAGGGAAATGAAGAAGGGGATGAATGATCTTCAATCTGATGACATTCTTTTACCTTTCCCTGGATCACACTTCTGCAGTTATCAATATTCTTGGCATAGTGCCTCCTCTAGCTCCTACTTCATTTATTCTTTCACTTCCTTAAAAATTCAGATAGTAGGTCCTTAATTATAGCCTGTCTAATAATTATCTTTGCATGTTGCTGTCTTTCTCATTTATGCTTTACACTTGGATGATTATTTTCTTTTAATTATGTATCTCAACTGTCTTCTGGTTTCTTTGCCTCTGTATATTTTAACAAAAGACCTGGATTGGTTCATCAGCAAGTTTTCGTAAAACAGGGGCTGGATTAATTCATCTAGAGAGAGAAAGCTTTCATTTGAACTTTCTAAGTGCTTCATGACAAAATATTGGGAAAGCTAAGCTGGTCCTGGCTTCTGTCTTTAAATTTCTTCCTACAATTTGGTCTAGAAAACTCTGCTATAGAGCAAATAGAGAATTGATTCTTTCTTAGCCTACATGGCTGTTCATGGAGAAAATTCTGTTCAGCACACTTCTAATCTTGGCACTTTTCCCCCAAAGCATCTCCTCAATGTATGTATGGAACAAGGACAGGCTATAGCAAGTCACATCCAGTGGCAAAAGACCCCAACATCTGTGTATCTAGCACATTCTGCAATGCTCTCTATTTTGTAGGGTAAAATAAGCTCACAGTTTCAGATCTCTTTAACAAGCTCTTTAGTAATTTTCCTCTTTGGAAAAACATGTAATTCACTAGCAGGAATCACAAACTTCAGCATGCCTATGACTTAGAACTCAAGCTAGTTCTAAAACATAGAGACACTTTTTTTTTTTTTTTTAGAACTGGGGATTGAACTCAGGCCCTTGCACTTGCCAAGGAAGGGCTTATTCTACTCAGCCATCTCCCAGGCCCAAGACACTTTTTTTTAAAAAATTCATTATTTTTTTTTATGTATTTGGTACAAGGTCTCACAATACAGCTTGGACTCATAGTGATCCTCCTGTTTTGAGCCTTCCCAGCACTAGGATTATAGGCAATGTGCCACCTTGCCTGGTCTCCATGGCCTGGTTTAGCATGCCCTGGGGGTGGGGCTGGTGCAGCCTGTGGTGCCTGGGATTGAACTCCAGTCCCTGCACTTGCCTAAACAGCCACTTAGTCCACTGAGCTATCTCGCTGGCCTGAGACACTTTTGTTCATCAGGTTTCATTCAATAATAATTTTTTCATTAGCAAAAAATAAAATAATGATTTTTTCATTTGCTCACTATATTTCAAGCATACTCTAAGGCATTGGTGACCGTACCACTGAATACACATTATTAAAAAAAACAATCACAAAGTTGTTGTCTCTATCTAGCTTACTTCTGGTGGAGAAGACTAAAGAGTGTATCAAATGGAGATAAGTGCAATGAGACAAATGCAGCAGGGATGGGATCCAAGGAGGGCGAGGCTGGTCTGAGAAGGCATCTTTGGAAGGGGGCCTGTGAACAGAGACCTGAGGAGAAGCCCTGAGCCAGCTGAGAACTGGAGGGAAGAGTGATCTGAGTTGAGAGAATACGAGTGCCAAGGCCTGCGACTGAATGATGGGTTGTGTGTGGGAGGGTGTACAGAGGCGAGTTTGGCTGGAGGAAGGTGAACGGTAAGGACAGAGATCGAGTGTGGGAGGGCCGATCCAGGAGAGCTTCACCAGCCCTTTGAGGGCCTTGGCTGTCACTGTGAGGGAAATGGGGAATGGTAGGATCTGACATGATGTTTTAGAGAGATCATTTTGGCTGCTAAATTAAAAGTCAGTGGTTGGACAGCAGTGGCAGAGATGCAGAATCCAGTTAGCTGGGTATTTGAAAGAATCTAGATTAAGATGGTAGCAGATTGGCCCAAAGTGAAGATGTTAGGGGAGGGGAATAAATTCTGATTATATTTTGAGGTCAGAGGCGTAGGATTAGACTGTGGAGTGATAGGATGAGGAGAATGAAGGATGAGCCCAGGCTTGTGGCCTGTATTACTAGGAGAGGAGGAGGGAGGGAGAGAGAGAAGTTGGAGAGGTTTGCTTTAGACTTGTTAAGTAAAGACACTGGGCTGGTAGATCAGTACAGAAGTCTGGAATGCAGGGATGAAGCTGAAGCTGGATGT